CCTTTATAAGGGCAGGAGTTCAAGAATAGAGAAAGACTGTGAGTCAGACAGTAATCTTGTTGAGGAAATAAGAGGAGTGTCTTGGAGGCTGGTAGAAAACAGCTACCCAAATTTTGGCTGGGTGGTACACATGGATTGAGTATACCTCAAAGGAGGAGAAGTTACTGAGTGGCAGAGGTAGAGCCTAGATGTTGTAATATGGAGTAAGGAGTATTCTAACTCCTCTACCATGACCAGGGAGTCAGAGGAATAAGTGAAAGTGCAACCAGAGCTGGAAAAGGTGGCCAAGGAGAGCTGTGCCATCAGGAGGAGCCAGGTCTTGGTGAGAGCTGAAAGAGGGGTTAGTGGAGGATGGAGAATATGGTTTGGATGACGACTGCAGTAGGTTCAGAACTGGGAAATGTAGGTTGGGTGGTTGTCCTTCGTTCTAGAAGAGGACCAAAATGACATCACTATGTAAGAGTCAAGTTATAATGCAGCCAGCTGTGGCCGATCAGATCAATATGAGTTCAGAATGCTCTACCACAGGTCAGGCACAAATAGTCTGTGTGAACATTTGGAGTGGATTCTCCAAATTTGCACATCTCATGTCTCTTTTGAGCTACTTCAATTCTGCTTTGCTTATAGAGCACAGCACCTTCTCTGATGAGGGCACGGAATGCTGGGCAGTTCTGTGCCAGGGTCTCCCATGTCATACAATCAGTTCCAAAGTTCTTAAGAGAGACCCTGAGAGTGTCCTTGTATTGCTTCTTCTGACCACCCTGTGAGTCCTTGCCCTGTGTGAGTTCTGCATAAAATAGTCTTTTAGGCAAAAGTGTGTTTGGCATTCGAACAGCGTGGTCAGCCCATCATAGTTGTGCTCTCTGTAGTAGAGAAGGTAGTTTGTTAATCATTGATGAATGAATTCAGGCAGGTTGCCAACGTTGACTTTGACCTTTAGGTGGAGTCAGTTAAACTCTGCAGATCTCAGTTTTCTCATCTGTAAAAGGAGGACATTGGACCTGGTGACTTCCAAGGTCTCTTCCAGCTTAAATCTAGGATTCTATCAGTTGCTGTGTGTGGGCATAGCCTTCAAGAACCCAGGATCATTATACCCCAAGGAAATCTGTAAGTTTCCAGGTATGCCAAAATAGTCAAATAGCAGTCTGTGATAACAAAGATAACAAAAACAGAGTGTATGCCCATTAATTGGGGAATGGTTGTTAAAAACAAAAAAAAAGTAGTATATGAATGTATTATTGTCTTGCCACCTTGGGATCCCTCTATCCCGATTGGCAGTTACCTGTCCTAGATCATTATTTCAGGAAAGCCCCAGGCGCCCCTTCTCACTTTATTCCCTACTCTCTGCCCTTCTCTTCCTCTCAGACTCTTCTGGAATCATGATTGAATCAACTCTGCAATTGTTCTTTCAAAACACTCATCATTCCTGTAACTTTTTAGATGAGAGTACTTCTTCTTGATTTTTGTATGGTATGTTGTGCCCCTATTAGAATGTAAATTCCTAGATGTCAGGAACTGGTTTTACTTTTGTGTTTGTATTCTCAGCACTTAGTGCAGCACTGCTTGGCTTACTGTATGCACTTAATGTTGTTGGGGTTTTTTTTTCATTCATTCAAACATAGAACCATTGTTTCACATTCCTGAAGATTGTGGCTGCATCACAGCATATAGTTCCCCATCCTCACAATTTAGCCTCCCAGTCTGCTGAAGTGGTTAGCAGCAGTAGCAAATAGTGTCCTCCACAAGTTTTGTCCTCTGAAAGCTTGTTAAAACCAGGGGAAAGAGCTATGCGTGCCCTGGAGCAAAATTTTCAGCAAACAGAATTTAGTGTAATTCTGTTCACATCTCTTCACCTGCCTTTAGCAAGCTGTCATAGGTTTAGCCTGGCTGCTTATGATAATGGCAGCCCACCACAGAGGAAATCAGGCAGAGAAAAAAAAATAACCTTGCATTATCATCCTCAACATTGGGGATTGGGGAGTATGTGTAAAGAAATATTATGAGCTAAATTTGATAATAATTATTTAGCACAGGTGACTGGTTGTGAAGCTTAAATGCATTGATCTATGTGAAAGCATCTTCATAAGAGCAAAGCGGTTTAAATTATGAGCTGTTATTATTATGAGCAATCAGGGTTTTGTCCAAGAAGAAAAATGGCTGTGTGGTTGCTGAGAAAAACACTTTAGGAGAGCTGGCCAGTGCTATGATATAATCCTACCAGCAATATTTTCCTGGGGTCATCCAGCCATGTTTTTCTTGAAGCTTTACATAACCTGAAGATAAAACAGCCACATTATTGCCATATAACAGGGCTATATCCAAAAGGGAGAGGGTTACAATTCTTCCTCATCCTTTCCTCTACCTAATTTCAGGGACATCTGAGTGTCTCTATCAGATACAGAGTGGCTAAGGACAGGAATTATATTGGCATAGTTCTTTTTGCAAGGTGGAACGTAATAAATACTTTTTGATAATCAGGATGCCTAGCATATCCAAACATGCCCTTAAAACTACCATGTTATTGGGAGTTCTAGGTTAATCATTTTAAGTGAAAGTTGATTTGCTTCTATGTGTTTCTTTTATTATTGATTAAATTCATTCTAAGTAATTTCCATGAATTTAATGGGTGGCTCTCTAAAAGCATTTCTAATCCATTCTTTGGCATTCTCACATTTGGAGACAATTATGCTTAATTTTTTTTGTAAATTGAATAAATTACAGTTAGAAATCTTTCACATAGTAGAGAATTTGTGAATTCAAAAGACACAAAACAGATGCAGAGCAAGCAGATATATATAGGTAGTTACTACTACGAAAACATAAAGAAATAAAAATTTTAATGTAAGGTAAAGCATAGGGCCACCAGCAACCTATGGACAGCTGCTATCATAGAGTTAAATTTATTCTTAAAGTAACAAAGAAAATTAGAGTAAATAGTGATCGATAACAATTATGGTAACTGTGGACTTTTTTTTTCTCTTAAGACTTGCTCCAAGTGATATTTTATCCTAAAAGTAATATGCAAACAAATTGGTATTTAATATTTATACTATTATTTTACATGATATTGTTTAACATGTAAGGTGTAATTAAGAGACAAAGTCTCATGCTTTCTCATCTCTCAGTTACGTCACCTAACTTTCCTTGCCTGTTTAGATAGGCATCATTATTTACCTGGTGGCAGACTTCTGAATTGTAGGAATCATGCTTAAGAAAACTTAAATAGTTTAAAAAGGGTGTATGCTGTGAAAAATTAACTCTGTCACATGATGACAAATGACATATTTTATCACAAGATTGATAGGACCAGACCTATGATTTATGGCTTCTTTAGATGCTACTGGGTTCATAGAGTGTCAACATAAGCTAATAGATAAATCCACCATAAATACAAATTTCAACTAAGGAGGTAATAAAAAGTGACAAACTTGTGTGATTTTACACAATTTCTCCTTAGTTTCATGGCCTGAATTGCTCATTTTCAGGGCAAATGCATTAAAAGTAAAACAAACTTGTACTCATGGAAGACTGCAATACTTGGATTATTAAATTTTCAAAATATCTGACCATTATTCTCCCTGGAACAAAAATAAGTGTAGAAAATTGGTCAATTTTCATTTATGCCTAGAATAAGGTATGACTTTAAGTTGAAGAGAGTAAGTGTTTGAGGCTGGATTTGTACTCAGGACTTCCTGACTCCAGGCCCAGCGCTCTATCCACTGTACCATCTGGCTGCCCCTTGGTCACACAAGGCTGAAGGCTTTGGACCTGACCTAGGGTTCGTCATTTACCATTTGATTTAGGAAGTCACTTTCATCTCACTGAGCCTCCCTTTACTTATCTTTAAATGAAGATAATTAGATTTGCAGAGCATTCTGAGGAATAAATTAGATAATGTGTGTAAAATTTGCCAGGATTTTCTGAGTACCTACTGTGAGAGTTTTTGTTTTTAAATTCCATCAGACCTTTAAAACCTAGAAGGCCACATGGAATCTCAGCTGTCAGGGAGGGCGGTATTGTACAGTTGAAAGGATACTGGGTTTTGGAGACCTGCCTGCAGTCTAAACTGTGTTCCTTCCTACCTGTGTGACTTTGAGGCCTAGAGAAGTTAAGTGATTTCCCCAGTTTCCCATTTTGTAAAAGGAGGGGGTTGGATGGATTTTTAGGGTCCCTTCCAGGGCCAGATCTATGAATGTTTGATTATCTGTATGCAAATTATGTGTTTTGTGAATCAGTTATTTGTAAAAGCAAGTTGCTTCTAGAGTGAAAGCGTTACTGTTGACCCCGGCAGAGTATGATTTTGAAGGTTCAAGTCTTGTAAGAAATAAATAAGTAAATGAATGAATACACGAATGAGTGAGTGGATGTGCTACAAGTAACTTGGGGGTTGTTATGTGCTTTCTAATGCCTCTTAGGAGGCCACTGAGTACCGTGGTGGATAGAGCTGTGGGTCTGCAGTCAGGAAGACTTGAGTTTATTTTTAATTATTTATTTATTTGTTTGTTTGTTTGTTTGTTTTGGCTAGGCAATGGGGTTAAGTGACTTGCCCAGGGTCACACTGCTAGTAAGTGTTATGTATCTGAGGTCAGATTTGGACTCAGGTCCTCCTGAATCCAGGGCTGGTGCTCTATCCACTGCGCCACCTAGCTGCCCCCAAGACTTGAGTTTAAATGTCACCACAGGCACTTACTAATTGTGTGACCTTAAGCAAGTCATTTGTCTGCCTCAGTTTCTTCAACTATAAAAAGGAGATAATAAAATACCTACCTCCTAAGGTTGTTGTGAGGATCAAATGGGATGATATTTGTAAAGTGTTTGGCACATAGTAGGAACTTAATAAATCCTTCCTATTAGTGCCAATAAAGTGAATGAACCATAATGAATTATGAAAAACAGCTACTTTGTATACAGAAATAAAGTGGAAAATTATTAGCCATAGCAGAGCACCTTTCAAAGAATGAACACTGCTTAAATAACCTTTGTCTAATTGTGTTTTTCAGAAATCAAACTTAAGAAGCACACAGATCCAGTACTATCTGTGCCTCATTTTAAATAGCCATTTTTTCAGTTTTTTGACTGAAGTTGGAACACATTTCGTCATCCTCAGGTAACAGACTCCGTGATCATGACTCCATGCAGAAATGGTTGGTTCTGCTTAATTCAGCTTTGTCAAACTCTGGGCACTTTGGTACAAAAGCATGGTTTAAACAGAATTGATTTCCTTCCTTTGACTCCATCTGGGATGAAGGAGGTGGTGTGTATGTGGTTGTGAATCTAGACCTGTGATTTCATCCTCATGAAGAACACTCAGTGGGGAAATCCTCTCTATCGGTGCACACCCGAAACTAGTCTGCAATTTATAATCTTGGCAAGTTGCTGAGAGCAACAGCGGCTGGTGCTCAATCCAAATCTTCCTGACTAAGGTGGCCTTTTATCCTCTATACTGGAGGGGTCAGACTTGGGCTGGTGGCAGGCCTCATGCAGCTGGCAAAATTCCCAAGTGCGCCCCAAACAGATGAAAACAGTTGGGAAGTGTTGAACAAAATACATAAAAATACACCCCTGATAATATTATTTAATGTGTAGTTTTATAAATTGATATATAGCCTGCAGGAGTACCTTTCTATTGGAATTTGTTTGACATTCCTGCTGTAGACCGTGTTACTTCTCATGAGTATGGATATCCCCAAATAAATTGGACCCCCTTAGTATTTCTTCCTGTCTGGCCTCTAGTATACATATTTTTAAGGAATTCATCTGGTTTGCTTTTGGGGGGTTGAGGCAGAATGGAAGTGAGGCAAGTTAGCAGTATAGTGTAGTGGATAATGAGCCGGCCAGGAAGCTCTCCATTCAAGTCCTGTCTCTGACACATACTTGCTCTTTGACCCTGGGCAAGTCACCTAAACTTCCAGTACCCCTGGAAACTCTCTGAAGGCTCAAATTTCCAGAGGAGCTGATGATCTGCACTGATAGAAGATGATGCCTCACTGGAAACTCCCAATATCAATGAGAGTACAAAAGAAAGAAAGTCTAATTATGTTATTCCTTGCTACATACTCATTTATCTCTGCAGATTACTAACTCTGATTGTGTTTTTTCCCCCTTCCTTTTCCTTCCTTCCTTTTGTTGTTTCCAAAAGTATTTCTTGTTTTGTCTTCTGCTCTGAGGCTTCTCCTAGGGTGGCATATTCCCTAACCTGAAAATCTGACAGCCCATTTTACCCTGAAGCAAACATCACCAGAAGGGTAACGGACTCAGATTTTAGAGAGAAAGTGATGGGCTGAATCTCTCATTCCTTCTGGCAAGGCAGAATGGGGTTGGGCTAGACTCCTCTGTAGAAAATTCCCTAAGCTCAACTGTTACTCCTGCTTCTTTTATCATAGATTTGCGGCTAAAAGGCACTTCAGAGGCCATTTAACCAAGCCCCTGAGACAAGGAAAAAATTAAGTGACCTTAGCCAAGGTCACACAGGTGATTCACATTCAAAAATTATAGGTCTTTCCACTTGGGAATCTACATTTTAAGGGGAATGAGTGTATCATTTGGTCACTGTCTCTTTGTCTTTAAACTCAGGCCTGACTAAATCTGAACAGGTGATTTTAAAATTTCTGGTAGACCAGCATTGGTGCTATCTATAAAAGTTGGATTTGTCAAGCAGATTTAATGGTGAGCTCATGGTTTAAGGGAGTGTGTTTAAACTTACTTAAAGGAGCAAATCATTTTTAAGAGCACTTACTTGGCAATGCTATGAAAACAGATGTTTGCTGTTGTTGTTCAGTTGTTTTAGTCATATCTGACTTCATGACCCCATTTGGGGTTTTCTTAGCAAAGATACTAGAATGGTTTGCCATTTCCTGCTCTAGCTCATTTTACAAATGAGGAAACTGAGGCAAACAAGGTAAAGTGACTTGTCCAGGGTCATACAGCTAGGAATTATCTGAAACCAAATTTGAATTCAGAAAGATGAGTCATCCTGACTCCAGGCCCAACACTCTATCTGTGCCATCTAATTGCCCCATGAAAAGAACAATAACAAAAATGAGTTTTAGCTTTTCATTGAGCAAGAGGTCTTGTCAAATGCATTTGGTTTTATTATTCATACCTGTGACTTCTTTAGTGCATGTGTGATTTTATTTAAGCCTATGATCCTCTGATTGCATGTTCTCTTCTTATTAGTAGCTGACTAATACTAGAATCATGCTGGTGCAGAAAGGCCTCATAATTTGGTTTTGTTTCAGCTGTATCAGTGCCCATCTACCTAAAACTGAAGCTTCTCACTGGCAGGATGTCATAAAGGATTTGAAGCACATTCAATTTCTCATCCAAGTAAGTATTGATTTTCCCATCCTCTCCCTGGGTTAACCAGTTTCACCTGTATGACATTGGAGACTCACTGGGGGTCCTTTTGTCTGGGTAGTAGAAGGATGAAGCTGGTACAGGGCCCAAACGTGGAAAGGTACGGGCTCCATTAAACAGGTTTCAGCTGTAAATAAATAATGTTCCCTTCATTTTTTTTAAATCCTGATGTTTAATTTCAATTTTTTTAGATGTTTTCATCCTCTAACTTTTCATGTATATAATTTTCTTTCCTTTTAGTCCTTAGATATTGACGCCACTCTGTATACTGAAAGTAATGCCCATGTGAGTATATTCACCACATTTTTTTTTTGCCATAATTATTGTGTTGTTCAATTGCTGGAGGCCTGAAGAGGGAATTTTCTTAGAATCACAGAATATTAGCCCTGGGAAGGACCAAATCCTGTGAGGGTCATATGAAAGAACTGGGATGATCTTAGCCTAGGGAAGATTTGGAGGAGAAAGGAGGGCATGACAGCTGTCTTCAAGAATTTAAAAGCTGTCATGTAGAAGAGGGTCTGGCTTTGCTCTGCTTGACCCCAGAGAACAGAATTAGGTACGATGGGTGAAACTGCAGATAAACATGTGCTACTTCCTTAGAAGGCAAAACTCCTTAATAATTAAAGATGTCTAAAGGTGGAATGGGCAACTTTGAGGAATAGTTAATGAGTTCCCCATTATTGAAGTTTGACCATCAGAGGCTAGATGACTTCTGAGTCCATCCAGGTCCCTTCCCCCCACTCTCCTTGCAACCCTGATATTCTGTGATTCTATGACAGAGATCATACAATTCAAACCCCTCATTCTTCAAGGCCTAGTGGTATGAAATGTAGTGAGTTAAGGTGACAAGTAGGCAAGAACTCGAGTCTCCTGATTCTCTATGACAGTGCCCAACTTTTCCCCTCATCCAGAAAACTATCACCCCAGAGCTGGCTTAGAAACACACACACTCATTTTTGTAAGTCTCTTGAATGTACCCTTGGGTATATGATTAAGGCCCCTGTAGACCCACCCTCTTCTCTGTGACATATGCTGGCCTACTTTTTCCTCGATCTGTCTCCAGGGCCAGGTCACACTGAGTCCACTCTCCTGAGCAGAGTGAGAAGAAAGAGACTTAAAGAATTTGACTCGCTTCCTCTGAGAAGCCAGAAAGGAGTTTGATCTTCCAGGACTTAACAGTGAATTTGGCTGAAGTTACAGAATTCACATCTCACTTTTCAATGTGTTCCTTTGGGGTCAACAAATTTTTAAATTAAAATATTGTGAAATGGTCTCCAGGGATGCTGACGGGATAAAAAAACAAACAACCCTCCCCCTCCAAACAAAATAAACAGTAAATCAATGTGCCAAGGACATTTGATTGCACCACCAATGCAAATCAAAATGTCTTAGGAAGATACCTGAGACTCACAGTTTCAGATTCATAAGTTACTATAATATAATAATTATATATGCACATTTTATTTACATATTTAAATATATGTTATATAATTATATATAACATAATATATACTATAATTATATATAATATAATATATACTATAATTATAACATATTTATATTGTATGTATTATACCATAACAATATAATATATTCTACTACATATATAATATATATTATATGTGATATATATTATATATAATATGTATGTATTATAATACCATAATAGTACTATCATAGATAGGACCTTATATGTCAACTAGTCCAGTCTCCTCATTTTACAGATCAGGAAACTGAGACACAGAGGAGGTAATAGGACTTTCACTTGGTCACACAGCTAATTAGTGTCAGGAACAGAATCTGAATTGAGTCTTTCTGACTCCAGGCCTAGCCCCATATTTGTTATACGATGCTGCCTTTCTCAGAAAGAAACTGGGAAGGCCAGAAAAAGAAAAAAAACTCACATATCAAACCATAGTAAGACCTTTTTTTGGACCTTTTTCTTTGTGATAGAAGGAAAAATAGAAGTCATTGTTAGAAAACATATTAAGGTCAGGCAAATTATATTACCAGTTACATGACTTACCTTCCATAGAATTCCACAGCCGACCCAGCCAGGCCTTCATTATGTACCCACATCAACTCTCCTGTTTTCTGTAAATTGAGCGAACATATGCATTAATGAGATGGTTTCTCCCTCTCTTGCAAATAAAATAAGAAGTCCTGCCTATTACTAGTTGTATAAACCAAGCAACAAATCTTTAAAAACTGATTATTTTTCTCAAAAGCCTAAAAGAAATATTTTGACCTTGTTTAATTGGACTGAAATTAAACTGAGACACATCTGATTTCTCCCATGTTTCTGGGTATAAAAACAAAGTCTCTCTTCCCTTTTCCTTTACTCACTAGAAGACATTGTATTTGTGAGTTATTTTTTTATTTATTTGGTTTTTTTTTTTGGTGAGGCAATTGGGGTTAAGTGCCTTGCCCAGAGTCACACAGCTATTGAGTATTTGTGTGTCTGAGGCCAGATTTGAACTCAGGTCCTCCTGACTCCAGGGCCAGTGCTCTATCCACTGTGCCACCCAACTGCCCTTATGAGTTGATTTTTGATTGGACTTTCCATCAATGGTATCCTAATCAGAATCTTTTCGGCGATGTCAATCTTTGCCAACACCGGGAACATGGCTTTTTTTTTTTTTTTAATATAGTTACCAATTTGGAGCTTCTTGCAAAAATTTCAGAAAAAGCTCCTCATTACTTGGAATCTCTTGTCTCCCAGTCAACTAGAGCACTATCTGGGTAGTGTTGGTCATCTTCCTTGCCCTGAGTCTGGCTTGCCTTGTACTTTTATACTTTTTCCATGCAGACTACATGAATAATTAACCATCAACAAGCTGAGAAATTGATTTTTAGTAGCCGTTGCAAATCTCAAGGGCTTAGCTGAAGCGTATTTTGCTTGTTTAGACATTCTTTCTGGAATGAGTCAGACCACTTAACAGGCACTCTGGCGTCCAGTGTTTTCTGTCTGTACCTCACAGTCTTTCCCCTTCTAAAATCAAAACCACTTTTGAAGGATTAGTACTTAAAAAGAAACCTTCCATTTATGTAAATGCCTTATACCTTTTCAAGGCACTTCCAACAGAGCATTTCATGAGATCCTTCCAATGTCTCTGACAGGTGGGTAGGAGGCACTCTCCATTTTGCCTGTAGGGAAAAAGACCCTTGGTTCAAATTCTGCATCTGACTCTTCCTGTGTGACCAGAGGCAAATCGCTTCATCTGTAAAATGGCGGGACAGATAGACTAGATGATCTCCTTGGTCCCTTTCAGATTTAAGTCATTGAGCCTAGGAAGTCGCATAGTCAGATTTCATATAGTTATAAATTTAGTAACTTGCCTAAGGTCAGACAGGTAATGAATGGTAGAGCCAGGATTCAAACGCAGGACCTCTGACTCCAGTTTTAGCCTTTTCCCCCCACTGAACACAAGAAATATTTCTTAATGATTAGAGTAGTCCAAAATGAATGACCCACTGGCTGCTTCCAGAGATAAGGAGTTCCATTAGGAAGGGATGCAACTCTTCATGTAGAGGTGCTCCTGCCTTCCTCTTCATGGGGGATGTTATAGAAAGGGATTCCCACGGAGGTCCAGGTTGCCTCTGAGGTTCCTTCCAAATATGAGATTCCATGAGGATAAGAGGGGTTTTGACTACATGACTTCTTCCAACTTTAAATCCTGTGATTCTTTTAAGGGACTGGTTAAAGGGCGAGTCATTGAGAGAACTTGAACCAGAATCCAGGTCTGCTAGTGCAAGATGTTTCCCATGTATCACAACGTGGCTGTCCTAGATTAGGGCTTTTTCTGAATGTAGGTTTTTCTTTTGTTTTCTATCAGAGTAAAAACTCTCTAAACTAGATGCTTCATAGATATAACTAACATCTTGGAACATGATATTTCCTTAGGAAATGTTTGGATAGAATGAGTTTTTGGTCCAAAATTTTAAAATATGAAATTATATAGTAAAAAAAAAATCAATAAATTCTTATAAAGCATCTGTTTTTCAATTCTACTTGTAGCCAAGTTGCAAAATCACCGCGATGAGGTGCTTTCTTCTGGAGCTTCGTGTGATTTCCTACGAATGCAATAATACCAGGCTCAGTGAAACAGTAGAAAATGTCATCCTCATTGCCAATACCACATTATCATCAGACAGGGTGAGCTTTCTTTGTACTGGTAAAATAAAAATATGATATAGCTTTGGTTTTGTCTGTTTTTATTTTTTAGTATTTATTGATATATTTTGTTTTTACATCACCTGCATTTCCTCCTTTATTTCTGTTCTTCTGTCCCTGTCAGAGAGCAACCCTTAACAAATTAAAAAAAAAAAAAAAGGAAGGAGAGGAAAAAAACACATTGACAAAAATCTGATGTCATATGCTGTATTCCGTATCTGTGGACCCCTACCTCTGCAAAGAAGCAGGAACTAAGGAGCTTCTTAAACCCTTTTCGTTAGATTGGAGGGAGCCTGATCCAGGCAAGGAGACAGGCGATCCGGAGCCTTCCCAGAATGAGCCAAGAGCTCAAGGAGATCGGCTACAGTTAGTAGACATCGCTAACTCTAATCTGATTTAACGGAATCTATTCCAGTTTACACACAATTCCTAGATCATCTATCTTCATTGTGTTCAAGGCAGACTGAGTAGAGACTTTCCAGACATCATTTGAACACAGATTATGGGCTGCATTCACTTTTTAGACAAGCCTCACTCAATTTGAAGGAAAAAAAAAATAAATAGGAACATAAAATTGGACTATTCAATCAACGAGCTTTTATTAAGCACTTAGTATGTACCAGATGCTGTGCTATAGATACAAAGAATGAGATACAACCCCTGATCTCAAGGAATTTACATATTAGGATAATTAATAAACTTACCAATTGTACATTGCTCTGGAACAGGGGCTCTCAAACTTATTTGGCCTACTGCCCCCCCCCTTAAAAAAATTACTCAGTGCCCCCCTGGAAATTTTTAACCCTTTCACACTTTTTTCTTTTAAATTTGTATCATTTCAAAAACTATTTTTTAAAAAATGACACATCTTAAATTTAATAATTTATTGTAAATCTGTGTTTTTCTTTTCCCTGCATTGAAATTTTGATGACACAATAGTCATGGAATCGTATAGTATATAATATCGTACTGTAAGCAAGTCATTACATGCATGCTGGACTTCTGACAATGCATGACATACTCTCCTGCCAACACTTGCTTGTTAAGACCTGTTGGCAGACTGGACCACTGATTGATTATGACTTGCATTTTGTGAGTTTATTTGGAAAATAATGTAATCACTACCACTTATACTCAGTTACACAACAGATGAAACATGTACAAATGGTTTTTCAAATTTTTCTTCTCTTCTCTTCTTTCCTTATGCTTCCACTACCCCTTTATTTTTATTTAACACCCTCCAGTTGCACAGGAGACTACTACTGCCCCCCGCCTTCATTGTTCCAGCACCCCTCAGGGGGCTGTATTGCTCACTTTGGGAACCTCTGCCTAGAATAATTCACGGAATTATAGAATTGGACATGACTCCAGAAGTCATTCAGTCCAACACCCTCATTTTATAGATAAGGAAATTGAAACCAAAAAAGCTTTAAACTAAATTCAGCAATCACTAAGTAAGTACCTTGGTCTATGTTATGTTGACAGAAAAAAGCAAACAGGACCTGCCCTCGAGGAGCTTACTTTCTAACTAGGGCAATATATGACATGTACACAGATGAATATAAATTATCATGAGTTAATACAGAACTTTGAAGAGAAGGAAAGCTCTGACAAAGAGAGGTTGAAGGGAAGGCTTCTTTGTCCTTTGAAGAAACAGAGAGCTCTAAAAGGCAGAGCTTTCCAGACAATTAAATCTTGTTTCTAATGCTTTCCATTAAATTAGTAGCTTCTTGAGGGTAGAGACTGTATTGTTTTTTATTTTGTATCTCAACTGTCTGAACCAGGAGTGGGGAATGTGCGGCCCTGAGGCCACACGTGGACTTTTAGGTCCTCAGATGCAGCCTTTTGACTGAGTCCAAGTTTTACGGAACAAATCCTTTTGTTAAGGGGATTTGTTCTGTGAAGTTTGGATTCAGTCCAAGGGCCACACTTGAGGACCTAGAGGGCCACATGTGGCCTTGAGCCCTCAGATTCCCCACCCCTGGCTTCAGATTTTTGTTTTTTGTTTTTTTTTTTTTCAAATTTGTTTCTGAATCAGCACAGAAGATAACAGTTTAATGTTCTAAAGGTTGAACTTAGATTTAATCACATGTAGCCAAGTTGCTACAGAAATAATTTCAATTTTTCAATCAACAGAGAACTTTTTGTTTGAGAATGTTTGTTTCATAAGGTTAACTTAGACAATGACATTTTTTTTTTTGTTACAACCTTTATCAATAGTCAAGGAAAAACAAACCCCCATAGTCACTTCCTCTGAAAGCTCCACCCAGGAAGCTCATGGGCATCCCGGGTTCTTGGCACAACGCTCAGTTGATGTGATACTGCCAGGAAAGGGGACGGAGCCTTGCCTCTCTATAGTCATTTTTCTTTTGTGTCTTCTCCTTTGGCAGAACATCGCAGAATCAGGATGCAAAGAATGTGAGGAACTGGAGGAAAAAAATGTTGGAGAATTTTTACAGAGCTTCATACACATAGTCCAGTCATTTATTGGCACCTCCTAATGTCATTTACTGCCTCTTCATTGCTTCTGTCAGTGAAAACATTCTGTACGAACTCCTGGGGCAAGGATTCATCTCCACCAGCCACCAGAATTTGTCTATCAAGATAATGATCAAGACTACAGAATTAATTCACATCACAGAACAAAGACAGAAAAGGAACCAAGTGTTTTGTGATCTCTTTGTCATTTTGTTTTTAATTTATTATTGAAACTCTCCTAAATGACATGGGATGGGAAACCAAGGCCTTTTTGCCCTGAATCAGGTCTTACATTTAAAGAATAGACGTATTTGAACAAGATCTTTAGAAAGAGACGAAATAGGAACAGCTAGGTGGTGCAGTAGATAAAGAGAACCATTCTCAGAGTCAGGAGGATCTGAGTTCAAATGTGACCTCGGGCACTTACTAGCTGTGTGACCCTGAGCAAGTCACTTAACCCTGAATGTCACCAATAAAATTAAAAAAAAATGAAATGAAATAAGATAGCAGCAAGGTACAGTGGAAGGAGTGCTGAATTTGGAGGGAGATGACTTGAGTTCAAATTCAGCCTCTAGCACTTAGTACCTGTGTGACTTGCAGCACGTCATCTAACCTTTCTGGGTTTCTGTTTCCTCAATCATAAAAGGAGGGTGTTAGACAAGATGATGTCAGCTAGCATTCATATAGAACTTTAAGGTTTGCAAAATGCTTTACAAGTGTCATCTCATTTTATCCCTCAACAGCCCTGGGAGGTCGATGCTATTATTATCCACCTTTTACAAATGAGAAAACTGAAGCGGACAGAAGAAGTTAAATGATTTGCCCAGAGTCACGCAGCTAGGAAGGAAAAGGCCAGATTTGAATGCTCTCAAAGGTCCAGTCCATCTCTAAATCCATGATTCTAAGAGATGAAAAACTACATTTTAAATCTGTATAGTCCACATATAAAATGGTTTTTCAAAAATGAAGGCTATGTCAGGATTGCTGAGACACAGCACACAGGAGGCATCCTGTAGGTTTTTCACCATCTATTGACGACAATAAAGTATTCATAAAATTGTCCTACATGCAATATAACCTGTTTCCCCAACTATAAAGTAGGTATAAAATAGCACCCACCTCCCAGGGTTATTTTATTTGGCACTCAGCATGGTGCCAGGCACATAGTAGGTGCTCTATAAATACTAGCTATTATTATCATTATTATTAGCCTCCATCCTCAATACTGCCCCACCATGACACATATGTCAAGATGGTTTTATCACACTCATTGCTGAAGGTTTCTAAATAGCTCAGGTCATTCAAGTTGGCAAAGGGTCAGGACCATACCAGAGATGTAGGAGGGGAAAGCATGATACTGTTTGCCCAAACGAGGGACTTCTGGTGAAAGGTACAGGACAAACCAAAATCAGTGAAAAAGGCAATGTGCTGCATACACTGGCTTTGGAGTCAGAAGACATGGGTTCAAATCTGGCCTTTCCTAGCTCAACCTCTCTGGGCATCTGTTGAAGGAGAGTGTTGCAGCAGATAGCCTCTGAGGTCCCTTTCAGCTCTAAATCTATGATTCTAGGAAGAAAATTACGGGTTGTAGTATTGTTTATTTTTTGCCTTTTCAATGTACATAGCGCATAACTCAGGTTACAAAGTATTCACAGTGTTCACATTGTAATAAAGAAAATATTTTGATTTTTTTTTTCTATTCTACATCCTTTAATAGATGATGGAAAAATAAGTCACTAAAAGAATGTTCAGAACATATGTTTTCAGGGATGTGTTGATTTTTATTTTAATGGGACATGAATGGATCTCACCTTTATGCCTTGTCCATGTACACACACACACACACACACACACACACATGTGTGCAATGTTTTCTTTCTCTCCCCTCCCCAGAGTATCCTCCTACCTTCAGTTGCCTCATCTCCCTGGGTTTATAACCATCTTCAGTGCATATTTTAGACAATCGGGCCCGGTGATATAGATTGGATATTATGTCTGTCACTCTTGAGTAATGAGCCTTATTTCCAAAGTATACTCGATGGTACCATCATGGCCTGGAAGAAGGAACATAATGCTCTCAGCACCAGATGGTAGCAGGTGAGCACTAGGGGAAAATAGGCCTAGGGATGGCTAACGATGATCTCACTGGTAAAACTTTGATTGTGCGTGTTGAATTTATGCACGACTCTGAAGGGCCAGGTTGTAAGAGAGCCAGCCTTGGCAACAGGAAGACCTGGGTTCTGCTCGTATCTGGACTTCTGATGCTTTCATTCCCTAGACAACCCTAGTACTCCATGAAGCCACTTGCCTAGGATTGTTATTATATAGGTAGTAAGTGTAAGAGGTGAGATTTGAAACCAGGGTCTTTGATTTCATCACGTCATCTATATCATCCTATCTTCACACATATAATATGTATACATAAATGTATTTACATATATGTAGATAATGTTTTATGTAAGGGACTTTCACACTTTGTAGGATCATATATTTAGAGCTGGGAGGACTTTAAAGTCCATTGAATCTAATCCCCTTATTTTACAGGTGAGGATACTTGGGTCATAGGACTTGTCCATAATCACATAGATATGGAAGTGTTCTGGAATCAGAGGAACCGAGTTCAAGTTCTGCCTCTGACATAACTTGTCAGACTTTGGCCAAGTCACTTACCCTGAATGGGATCTCAGTTTCCTCAGTTATAAAATAAGGAGCAGGAGGAAGAGGGAGTGGAGAGGACTGGGCAGCTGGCCTAGGTTTATGGTCCTATGCGAATGGGGGCAGGATTTGAAACTCGGTCCTCCTGACGCTAAGTTCAATCAATGCCCTCTTCTTTACATTGTGCTACCTCTTAATGTTAAACACTTAAGCTCAATTCAGTAAATATGAAGCATAAGTTTGTATCTTACTGCAGTTCTCTTTTTTAAATGACAATGATTTAGTTATGAGTTCTTTCTCTCAAAAAAAAAAATCTGGATGCAGAGTTTCATACATGCAAACCATCTATCCATCCATACACACAGAGAGTTTAACATTGTGTTTTAAACATTGAGACTTGTCTCGCCATCTTGCCTTCTCAAGACACACTGTGTTCTGATGGATAGAATGTTCCACCTGGAGTCAGGACGTCCTGGGTTCACATTCCCTTCTCTGACGCTTACTAGTTGTGTGACCACGGGTGAGTCATGACTACTCTGAGGCCTAAATTTTCATATCTTTAACATGGAGATAATAAATGGCAATGTAGGCAAAGTATTTGCAAACTGTAAAGTGCCATATAAATGACAGTTATCATTAGCATAGTCTCAGAAAAAATACATTTGATTTCTATCTCACCTTTCCCCTGAAAACCTAAAAGCATTTTACATAGCATATAAATAAAACATTAATCTCCATTTCCATGATCTCTGAAAGGACAGTGGACCGAATGAGAATAAGGCAATAGGATCAGTTATTAATTCCAATAAGACTCTGTGCTGAGAAAGGAATGCTGAAGGTCCGCATGGGAAGAAGCCTTGTGATCTCCGGACACTGACATGGAGAAAGGGCTGTCTGGAAGGGGGTGGCACTGGCAATTACTAGCAGAATCAGTGTAACATTAGCCCAGTGATTTTATTATTATTTTTATTATTATGGGCAGCTAAGTGGCACATGGTATAGAGTGTTGGGCCTGGAGTCAGGAAGATTTATTTTCCTGAGTTCAAATCTGACCTCAGACATTTACTAGCTGTGTGACCTTGGGCAAGTCACTTAATCCTGTTTGCCTGAGTTTCCTCATCTGTAAAATGAACTGGAGAAGGAAATGGCAAACCACTCCAGTATCTCTGCCAAGAAAACCTCAAATGGCATCATGAAAAGTTGGAGATGACTGAAACAACTGAACGACAAAAATTATTATTGTTAATAATAATGTAAGCTAGTATTTGTATAGCACTTTACATTTTGCAAAGCACTTTATATACATTATCCCATTTGATTCTCACAACAGCCCTGTGAGGTAGGGGCTATTTTTATGTTCTTTTTTTTTTTTACAAATGAGGAAACTGAGAGCTGTAGAGGTTAAGCAACTTGCCAAGGGTCAAACAGTAGGTATCTGAGGCAAGATACATCCGACTGCTTTGCTCCATTTTTAAAAAAAAAAATACTGGAAGGATTTCTAAAATCATCTTAGTCTTGACAAATGGTAATGAATAGGTAGTTTTTAGAAGAAGAAATCTAAGCTAACCAAAGCCACATGAAAAATGCTCTAGATCACTAATAATTCAAGAAATGAAAATTTAAACAACTCTAAGGTACCACTTCACAGCCTTTAGATTAGCTAAATTAACAAATAAGGAAAATGACAAATGCTGGAGGGGCTGCTGGAAAACAGGAACATTAATGCACCATTGATGTTGTATGAATTGTTTCAACAAAAGCAACTTGGAACTGATAATAATAAAAATATTTGGCATTTGTATAGCACCCAAAAAGGAGGCAGGTGCTTTTATTACCCCCACTTTACAGAAGAGGGAACTGAAGCAAAAAGAGGTTTAGTGATTTGCCAAGGGTCACACAGCTAGTAAGTGAGGTCAGATTTGAACTCATGTCTTTCTTAATCCAGGCCCAGCACTCTAGCTAATGAACCACCTAATTGCCTATGACCCAAAAGCTATTAAACTGTGTATACCCTTTGACTTTATGATACTGCTACTAGGTCTATACGCCAAAGAGATCAAAGAAAATAAGAATGACCCATATGTAGAAAAATATTTATAGCAGCACTTTTAGTGGTGCCAAAGAACTGGAAACTGAGGAGTGCTATATCTGAGGAATGACTGAACAAGTTATCATATATAAATATGATGGAATATTATTGTGCCATAAGAAATGATGAGCAGGATGGCTTAAAAAAAAAAAACCTGGGAAGACTTATATAAACTGATGCAAAGTGAAGTGAGCAGAACCAGGAGATCATTGTACACAGCAACAGCAGATGATCAACGGTCGAAGACTTAGCTCATCTGATCAAGATAATGATCCAAGACAATTCCAAAGGACCCATGATAAAAAATGCTCTCCACCTCCAGAGAGAGAACTGATGAATTCTGAGTGAAATTGAAACTCACTTTTTTACTTTATTTTTCTTGTTTTTTTTTAACATGGCTAATATGAAAATATGTTTTGCATGATGTCTCATATGTAATTAATATCATATTGCTTGTCTTCTTAATGGGTGGGGGAGGGGCTGGAGGAAGGGAAATAATTTAGAACATAAAATGTAAAAAAAAAAGAGTGTTAAAAATAAATATATTTTTTAAAAAAGAAATGATGAAGCAAATGGTTTCAGAGAAACTTGGGGAAACTTACACAAGCAGATGCAAAGTGAAGTGAGCAGAACAATTTGCACTATAACAATAACATTGCAAAGATGAGCAACT